GAGAAGACCTGTATATTTTTAGGATTTGCCAAGGGACAATGTTTCGTCATCTTTATACCCTAATATTTTATGAAGTGTAAGGTTATTATGCCTTTTTTTATTTTTGGTAAGATATAAATATGTATAAAAATCCCAATTAAGATATCTTTCAACTTTACCTGGTATTAAATTAAGTTTATTTGTTTGCTAAATGTTGCACAAAGTTGTTTAAGGGCTACGTGCACTATCCGACCCAAATTTTGAAAAGTTAGTGTAGAGGGAAGGCAAATAGTCAACATCATCCACCGCCAACTTTTGGGACACTCTTTATCAACAAATAGTGCGATGTGCCTTTCACATTATAACACCCACACGGCTGAAAGAGTTATCAGATTGCGAGTTGAGTGCCCTAACCACCAGGTGCACTAAATTAAGTGACGGAAGAATTTTAATACATGTTTTTGCCGTTCTATTCCTGTTAACATACGTAATAAAGCAATGTGCAGTAAAACGTTTTCGGTTTGGGCATTCTCACACGTCGTCACCGTTAGCCTTTATAAAGTCTATTTTTTTCACACTATTGATTTATCTAATTATGGACATTACCTTATAATATTGTACTTTAAAAAAAACCGCCTTTGCCATCTTCATCGGTGATATCGAGTAATTAAGTATGTTTTTTTTATAAATATCTATACAGAAAGTTCATCACACAAGATGAAAAAATAAAACTTAATATACTTAGATACGATAGCTCCATTTCAGTGCAGTAAAATTATCGATATCGGTACTTTTATCGGCATTTTTTAACCTGAACAGGACCTGAAGCGATATTTGAGTTAATCAGCCAAGTCAGAGAATCCAATGATTAGGCACAGCCATCCCCAAATTTAGAATTACTCACCCATCAGAGCGAGGTAACCGGTCGCCATCATCAGCCGCTACTTGCTACCACTGTTAACGTGTGGTACGATTAATTTTCAGTTTTATAATACGCGCCCATGGTTGAAAGTCCGAAGTGTGATCAGCTGCATATCGTGGATCGAACCTAGGGCATTCCGATCCGCAGCCCAGCATGTCAACCCGTAGCTTACGTCCGACTAGCCATAAAATGATATTAATATTACAAAGTTTGCAATAATTTTCACATTTTTATTATTCATTGAAACGTTAAGTGTTAGTTTAGACTTTGTAATATTAGTGATAGATATGATCACAAACTTATTTCTCGATGTTATTGAATATTCTAATACAAAAAAGAAAAGAATAACAATGTGTTTATTTTTTGGAATAATAATAATACTGTTAGGTACACGACGTATTCTCAAATCATGTCATTTCACAATTGTTTTCAATAGTTTAGTTAGTGTTGTCTAGCCGTCCATAATTTAGCAGTGTAAGACTAGAGGGAAGGCAGCTAGTCATCACCGCCAACTCTTGGACCACTGTTTTACCAACGAATAGTGGGATTGACCGCACATTATAATGCTCCCACGGCTGAAAGGGCGAACATGTTTGGTGTGACGGGGATTCGAATCCGCGACCCATAGATTGCGAGCTGAGCTCCCTAACCACTTAGGCCATGCCGGGCCTACTATATTAGAACTTGGAATGGTTGGTGTCAATTAATATGAAGATATCAACTTCAACTAAATTGTTCCCAACGATTTCTCTGTTCAGAAAAATCTTCTGGTATATTTTTTTAATTCTTTTTTTCTAACTCGCGATTTAGTCAAATATTTTAGCATATTGGTTGAACTTAAAATTAGTCATAAACGCAGACCGGGAATTATACACTTATAATATTTTGAGTTTGCTTGTAATTAAGCACAAAGCTAAACAATGGGCTATCTGTGCTCTGCCCACCACGGGTATCGAAACCCGGATTCTAGAGGTGGGCAATATTTTGAGACAGTCATGCATTATACAGAGACTAAATGAGTTATTCCATATAACTACCGCTTTATATAAAATAAAACACTTTTTATATCGGTGATAGAAACTTGAGAAAAAAATCTAATTAAAGATTATTAGAATAGATTAAAAGTGAAATGATGAATGGAACTTTTAGAATTTTTTACACTAACCAACTTAACAATCTTGGAAAAATTTTAATGAATGTTAAAAGATAGAAAATTAAAAATAACATATATGGTGTTTCAGCATTGCCAGCTTTGCATAAAACCTAATGAAAAAATAAGTTAGAAAATTCTTTACGTTTCTAAAATGTTTGTCTGATAATATCGTTTAGTTGTTTGTGTAACACATAATTTTGATTCTTAGATTTTTCCCGATAGGTTAACGGGAACTTTTCGGACCTACTACGCTAAATTCCATAGTTCGATTCCTCGCGATAGACATAGCATTTTACCTATCTTGGAGCTACAAACCAGGCAGTTATTTACACTGCGCTTAGATATATTTCAAACAAAATAGTTAACATTTTCAATACAAACTTTAGACACAACGTTTGTATTCATTTACAAAGTTTAGTTATTAATGTTTGTTTTGAATTTCGCGCTAAGCTACACGAGGGCTATCTGCACTAGCCGTCCCTAATATAGCAGTGTAAGGGAAAGCAGTTAGTCATCACCACCCACAGCCAACTCTTGGGCTACTGTTTTACCAACGAATAGTGGGATTGATCGTCACATTATAACGTCCCCACGGCTGAAAGGGCGGGCATGTTTGATGGGACGGGGATTCGAACCCGCGACCTGCAGATTGCAAGTCGACCGCGCCCTAACCACCTGGCCATGCCGGGATAGTTATTAATGATAGTGAATTATTGAATGCTGTTTATAAAATACACAGAAATGTTGAGATATTATTCTCTGTCTTATATATTATTCTGTCTTAGCAAAAGAAATAGTTTTATTTAACATTTGCGCTCGAATAAATGTCCTTATATCCAATGTTCTTGTCGGTTTACATAAAACCGGTCGAGCGGTTAAGATGACAGAACCCAGTAAAATAGGGTTTCAAAGCTCGTTTTATCGTTCGTGAAAAATCTCATTCTCGCTTTTCAAAAATAATTTAAAAAATCACCGAAAAAGTAATTCTTAAATTAGATCTAAAATTTTTAGTAATTGCATTAAATCGTATTTCATAAACGTCTCTGTACTGTAACTTACGCATACTTACAAACATCAAAGATTTAAACGGGTTTTACGTAATTGGAGTCACGCCCTTTTAATTTACATGTAAGACGTTAGCCCAAAGCATTATCACATTCCAGCCTAAAGCCTGCTTATGACAAGTACATTACAAGACAGTCAATAAATACCTTTCCAAGGTTTCACAGCAGTGATAAATGGCTTAATTAGAAGGAAGTTTGACTGGGAAAAACACATAAGTAGAGAATAGTTTACATACTTTACGTCGCTTTCTTTTATCACATCACGATTCCGTCCATGAGATTCGACTTTTGAATAACTCAAAAGATATTTAGAATAAGAGTCACATAGGCAGTACTAACAATTGGTGAATCATATGTCTCATCTCCATTATGTCATCTGTTTCTGTAATACTAGCTCGTCAGTAGAAAATTAACATATGTTATACCAACAATTGTATTGAAAAACATTGAAGTTGTATAATATTTTAGTTTGAACCTTATGAGGAAACCACATAACACAAGGAAGAACATTATAAGGAAACCACGTAACGCAAGGAAGAACATTATAATGAAACCACGTAACGCAAGGAAGAACCTTATGTGGAAACCACGTAACGCAAGAAAGAACCTTATGTGGAAACCACGTAACGCAAGGAAGAACCTTATGTGGAAACCACGTAACGCAAAGAAAGAGCCTTATGTGGAAACCACTTAACACAAGAAAGAACCTTATGTGGAAACCACGTAACGCAAGGAAGAACCTTATGTGGAAACCACGTAACGCAAGGAAGAACCTTATGTGGAAACCACTTAACACAAGAAAGAACCTTATGTGGAAACCACGTAACGCAACGAAGAACCTTGTGTGGAAAAATCACGTTAACACAAAAAAAAAGAACTGTTAAGGATTGAATGTTTCATTAATTGAATGCGGATACATACCCTTAAAAGAAAGTTACCATATGAGGGAAGTTACCCTCCAGGTCAGAGGACACAATCAATGGTTTTGCAATACTCGTAGAATAAAAGATGCGATTTCTTATTGAAATAAGTTCTTTCGTAATGTAAAAATGTGTCTTAGAATTGATTCCGAAATCTATATATTTTGCTTTGAATAAGTCGATTTGCTGTTACCGTAGGCCTTCATTACGGTACAGTTACACAACAGTAATTGTCTTTCGCAGAGTTCAATTTCCTGCGAGTTGATTTTATTAAAGTTTGTCAGAAGATTACTTAGCTCTGCAAATGCATCATCACCAAAAGAACCACTAAACATCTGCTTAGTATGAAATTTTCATAGGTTGTGCAAAAATGGAATTTAACAGAAATTTATGAAGGCTCCCATTCCAAAATTTCATTTACTATAAAAGTAGATATGTCTGTTTTTACCCAATTCACCCAAGAGGTTAAAAAATTGATAATAAAATAAAAACAAACTTGGAACATATGAAACAGAGTTTTTCATTTATTTCATTGTTCGTAACTGATGCTTTATTAAAATTCATATCCTCCCTATCAAATTAATTTTTTTGGATTGAGTTTTTAAACACCCTATGAAATTTTTATGTCTGTCATATAATACATATTATAAATTGGGTATTATCAATATAAAACAATATCTTCCCTCTTATATCTAGACAAACATATACCATATCATATTCAATATTATTTAGATTTAAAGGGAAATCACTATTCAGTAGTGTTGCGATCTGTGGTATACAGATCTATAATACGTATTTCTGGTGCCCCCCAGTGGCACAGTGCTATGTCTGCGGACTTACAACGCTAGAAACCGGGTTTCGATACCCGTGATGGGCAGAGCACAGATAGCCCATCGTGTAGCTTTGTGCTTAAGTTACCTAATGTATTATTATAATTTTAATAATAAAATATGTTATCTTACTCAGGACTGGAGGAAGAAGAACATAGCAAGCAAAAATCTTGAGCCACTTATTGGTTGGTACAAAAGTCCCACTGTAGAACTTTACAGTCGTAAAAGACATGCTGTACTGATGTTAACACTTTCACACGAAAAAACTACCAGGAACTGATGGATTCTGACAAATTTAATATGGCATAATTTCTTAAAGTACTGACACTAATAACAGGAAAACCCCGCATTCATAATAACGTACAGGACAGCGACCAGCTGCTTCGGTAGCGTAGAGGGAACTGATTGGCGCTCTGAGCGCTATATCTCGCCCAGCACTACAGTAGGTAGGATCCACTCAGCTTTTGGGGTGGATATGACGCAAGTCTCCAACATTTCCATGCGAGTTTCGTGATTACTACTTTTCCTGCAGATCTGATCCATCAAGTACTTGTCGTATTTTGGACATTCAATCGAAAATTTAATCGCTTTCAAAATGGCCAGGAGCATTTTTTATTAGTATGCTTACCAGCATTTTCGTTTTAAGTAGCCATTACATTTAATTGTTTCTTCTGTATGAGATTATAGCGACAACAAGAGCGAAAAACCAAATTCTTCACACGTAAAAAAAAGATGTAAATTTAAAACTAGAATAAAAAGATACATTCGGAGGAGTGGGGTAAAATTAACCCCAGTAAGAAAGGTATAATAAGAAGGAAGACTTACACACATATATATATATAGGAGGAATAATAAAATTAAAGCTGATATGGGTGCTGAAGTCCAGAGCGTCCCTTGTTTAAACAACCATTTAAGTATGCAGCCAGTTGTGGGGAAGGTATCTGTTCCAAATGAAACTTGTCTATAAAATAAAACATTTTATGACAATCGGACTACTGAAAGTAGTAACAGAAATTGGCCCCAACCCGTATACTTACTTTCTCTCTGTTATATTTTACACTTTCGACAATATATGTTATATCCTAGTTTTATTTTTTGTCTATTGTATGCGACAATTTTTGTTTTTGGCTTTGTTGTATGAAGAATATTTCAAATATTGAAGCTAAGGGAATACTGTTTTGTGATCTTTCCTCTTTTTTTTTGTTAAAATAACGTAACTCTTCCATACACAAACATATATGCACACGGTGCACAGACATATGAAACTATGATGCACGTGTTTAGACAACAAAACCAGAAAAAAAAGTATTGCACATAAGAATATGTATAACCAAAGAAAGGATTGCAGATAAGTATATGTATGACCAAAAAAAAACGTTTTGCACATGAGTATATGTATGACCAAAAAAACGTTTTGCACATAATTATATGTAGGACCAAAAAAAGATTGCACATAAAAATATGTATAACCAAAAAAACGTTTAACACATAAGTATATGTATGACCCAAAAAACTTTTGCACATAATTATATGTAGGACCAACAAAAGATTGCACATAAAAATATGTATAACCAAAAAAACGTTTAACACATAAGTATATGTATGACCCAAAAAAAGTTTTGCACATAATTATATGTATGATCAAAAAAAAAAGATTGCACGTAAGTATATACATATATATATATATATATGTGTGTGTGTATGGATGCTATATAATTATGATATGTGCATATCTTTCTCTATGTCTCGAAACAAAAAGGAAAACAAACATTCTTAATTAAGTATCCACTGTACTTTATGTAAAATTTAAATATTTGTCTACGTCTTTCACCAGAAGAGTAAGATAATTGTGAATGGCGCAGATAGCCCTCGTGTAGCTTTGGTGGGTGGTGATGACTAGCTGCCTTCCCTCTAGTCTTACACTGCTAAATTAGGGACGGCTAGCGCAGATAGCCCTTGTGAGCTTTGCGCGAAATTCAAAACAAACAATTCACATTTTTCGAAGGAAAATGTCTGTATTAGATAGAAGAAAAAAAACCCTTACTCAGTTGATCCTTCATTCAATGACGACTGTTTTATATGTACAGATAAAGACGACTATTTTATATGTACAGATAAAGACGACTATTTTATATATGTACAGATAAAGACGACTATTTTATATATGCACAGATCAAGACGACTATTTTATATATACATATAAAGATAACTATTTTATATATGTACAGATCAAGACGACTATTTTATATATGTACAGATCAAGACGACTATTTTATATATACATATAAAGATAACTATTTTATATATGTACAGATAAAGATGACTATTTTATATATACATATAAAGACAACTATTTTATATATGTACAGATAAAGATGACTATTCGAGTATTATAGTCATTAAAGCGAGTCAAAAATACAACAGTTTAGAAACTGTCATTGCAGAATTGTTTCCTTTGTAAAAGGAATATAACACAAACCTGCGAAATAAATAATAATCTAAAATACAGGGTGACCCGATAGTGAGAGGTATCTAATAAATCATGAATATAAAATACAGGGTGACCCGAAAGTGAGAGGTCTCTAATAAATCATGAATATAAAATACAGGGTGACCCGAAAGTGAGAGGTC